CGCGCGGGGCTGCCCGGGGGGCCCGGCCATGGCCGGCCGGGGGTGCGGCTGCAGCGGCTGCCCGGGCTACCTGAACGAGGACAACGCGCGCTTCTTGCTGCTCGCCGCGCTCATCGTGCTCTACCTGCTGGGCGGCGCCGCCGTCTTCTCGGCGCTGGAGCTGGCGCAGGAGCGCCAGGCCAAGCAGCGCTGGGAGGAGCGCCTGGCCAACTTCAGCCGCAGCCACAACCTGAGCCGCGACGAGCTGCGCGACTTCCTCCGCCACTATGAGAAGGCCACCGAAGCCGGCATCCGCGTGGACAGCGCCCGCCCGCGCTGGGACTTCACTGGCGCCTTCTACTTCGTGGGCACGGTCGTGTCCACTATAGGTACGTGGGCCCGGGAAGGGGCAGGGCGGTCGCGCTCGCTGGCGTTCCGCGGCGGCAGGACCTTGCTCTCCCGCAGTGGGAGGGCCGCCTCGGTGGGGCGCCCAGCGGCTCCGACGCGGGCTGGTGACGGAGCCACAGGTGCTGGTGCCACAGGTGCTGGTGCCGGAGCCACAGGTGCTGGTGCCTCGCGGCTCTTCTACCTGGGGCCCAGGGGCCGGCTGCACCAGCATCACCTGGGAGCTTGTTGGAAAGCAGAGTCTCGGCCTCCCCAGACCAGAGTCAGAAACTGCCCGCTAAAAAGGCCTCTGGGGATTTGCAGGAGCCTGAAGTCCGAGAAGCTCTGCTCTAGATTTTCAGCCCCGTTAGGGAGACAGCTTGTGTTCATGGGACTCTGGGAGAGAGCTTAAAATTAGCCACAGGAACTTAGACACATATATTCAATTAGTACCATGCCCGAGGTATGGGTCAGAGGGAGAGGCCCTCTGTCCTTGACTTCAAATGTAGAGAGAAAATCAGACTAAATATCAGATAGGAAGTAAGGACAGATAAGTGCTATGGAAGATGGAAATTGTTGAAGGAAGGATTGAGAGAGCACAGTGAGCGCTGTGCTGAACCAGTTAGGGCTGGACATGATTTGGGTGTGGGAACTGGAAGAGAGAAGTTCATTCAGGGGTCCCCTGAGCTAGTTGGAGTTTGGAAGGTGGCGAAGAAGGGCTCCTGCCTCGAAGGAGGGTGGGGATCCCTCTGCCACTCTGAGGAGCTAGAGCGTATCTAGAGGCAATTGGGAGGCAGAGATAGCTGTAGAGTGAGTGTGGCACGTTTACTGTTCATTATAACTTTCCCTCCCTGCAGAAGGAAAAAGGTTGGAGGCTCTACTAAGCCTCCTCCTGTGCCATACTAAGTTTGTTCACCCTTATTCAAATGAAGTGATGAGGGGATTGCAGAAGAGGCTGTGAGAACTCTAGGGAACACAGAGAGTGGAGGCGACAGGGTGGGTGGGCTTTGAAGGACTGCAGAGCAAGGGGGAGCTCCCAGTGGCCAGAGCTAGGAGCAGCGACAGGCGAGTGGCACAGGTGTGTACAGGTGTTCAACAGCTATACCCCGTGCTCACAGGAAGAGCTTGTCAGTGATGAAGGCGAACTTCCTCGAGGTGCCCGTACACAGGTGTCTGAGGTAGACATTCTGCCTGAAGGAGCGCTAAGTGTGTCAGAGATCAGCCTCAGGTCTGATTAATCAAGAAAGACTCCCCAAGGTTAGCCTAGAAGTGTGGGGCTTCCTTGGCACCTAGGAGGCCAGGTGGAGAGGATTAGCATGACTGGCCCACGCGATGGGTCAAGTGCTTTGTGCTAAACTGCCAGATTGGAAGCCCCCACCCAACCCCGTCTCAATGGCCTGCCCATCCGCCAGCCATTACACACTCTGCTACTGGGCTCAGATCTGGCAGGAGAAATGGCCAGAATGGGGCATCACAGCACCGCGGTTCTCCCCCACCCACATTTCCCACTGGGCTCTTACAGCAGAAAGCCCTGTCTGTCACCAGGTGATTTCTAGTATGTCAGGAGACAGCTCTGGAATGTCTCTGTAGAGAGGATTTAGGGTAAAATGCTAAGAAGAGCTGCTGTGGAATTCACCTTGAATCTGCTATGTTTGCATAAACAAGTACCAGGTTTTTACGTCAGTGGAATATCTGGGATGGTTTTGGTGGGAGGCTGGAGGGCTAAATCCTCCCTCCCCCATCGCAAGCCCATGGGACTCCCAGAGGTGGGAAAGAGCTGCGTGTGTGTAGAGTGGAAGATGGATGCCACAGGAAACGAGCGTGTCCCCAGTGGGTGGGCGTGTGGGAACGTGGCTTCTGGGGCACACATGCAGTCCCATGGAGTAGGAGGAAACCGGGGCTGAGGTCTGAAGCTGGAGCTGTGGGTCACAGGTCCTCTGTTTCACAGCTGACATGTCTCGGTGGTGCCCGCAGCCACTGGGCAGGCGCACCATGAATTCGGGCAGCCGGATTAAGAGAGCCCTTAGCCGACTCTTCTGGCTTTAATACTCTCAGGGAACCGAGTACACGGACATGCAGGCAGGCAACCGAGCCCCCCGCACCCCTGTGCTCCCTCTCGGGGCTCTCTCGGGTGTTGTCCCCCTTCTCACGCTTACCCCGCCGCATCTAGGCTCAGGTGTGCACACTAAACATGGCCACGCAACCCCCTCCAGGTGCCTGCCATCAGGCACACGGGCCCCGAGCCCACATGCCTTCTGCATTAGCACGGTCAAGGCCACAGGTGATAGCCACTGCGGCGAGCGCTGCGAGACGCCTGGGTGACGCTGCACGGCCCTGGTGTCTGCAGACGTTTGGTGGCTGTTCAGAAACATCAGTCCTGTCTCGCTCACTCCCTCCCCCTGAGCGGACCCTCTTGCTGGGCTCTTTGGAGGGAAAACAAGTCCGTGTCTTTGGGTGTTCTTTCGTAAGTGCAAAGTGCTGTGCTGATAGGAGCTGGTTTTTGCTTTCTCATCACTAGTGTTTCCTTTTTCTGTCTCTCACTGCTGTTGTAACAGCACCAGCTACTCTTTCTTGGGCACATGCTGTGAACACAGATTACTTTGTGAGCACATGTTGCAACAATGGCTGCATTATACTCACACTTCATTTCAATGCACACAGCTCCATGAAGGGAGTATGATTATCCCCATTTCCCGAGGAGGAATGAAAGCTTTGTGTTCTTTGTAAACTAAAGTATAAAGAAGGGGGAAGCTCTGCATCGGTGATGCCCTGTCCCAAGTTAACTAATGCTAGCCTTTTGGTGTCTTTCTCGCCAGCCTTTTTTCTCTGTGCATATACATATACACAGTTGTATTTTCTTAATTGGGCTGATAGACTCTAAACCGTTTGTCTTGAATTTTAATCATAACTTTACAGGATCATGTATTTTTTTGAAAAATTAGTTTCACTAATTTTGAGGTAACAGAAAAAAGGATACCCCAAAATTTCATAGAGGGTAAATAAAACTTCAGAACTAGGGGAGAGAGCAGACATAAGGAAAGCCGGTGGATCCTTAGAAGATGCTAGAGAAATGCTCCATCTTACTTTATTTTCCTCAAAAGCAGCCCCTCAGCCAAGAGTTTGAGTAAAAGCAATTGACTGGCAGGTGCCAGGGATATAGACAGGAAAAGGAGGAAGTGACATGGGGAATTTAGTCAGCATAGGGTGCATTATTCCCACAATGAGCAACTGCTACATAATCCCAAGTGGAAGCTTGGAAACAACACAAAGCTTGTGACCCAGAATTAGAGCAGGCCAGGGAGCAGGGGTATTTATACACCCACACCTATCAATAATTGGTTAAAAGCTGCTTGGGTGCAGGGGAAACAGGACACACAATCCCCAAGTACTTCTGGTCGTTATTTGTTTATTTTTTTTCAAACAGTACAAGAGTAACTCTGCAAAATCAGAGCCACTGGCCATGGGCAATCAGCCCAGTGTACCCAGAAATGGTAAAGGGGACCCCAGGCATGTGGACCCCAGGCGTGTGGGCAGAGCACCAGCAAGCGCTGTTCGGGTTTCATATTTGGTTGTGAGCCTTGTGGAGTAGTGACCCACACTAGGTTTCTTCTCACCACAGACAGGGAAGGATAAAGCTTTCCCCAGTACTTATTCCTCAAATATTTCCCTCTTGGGATTTTATATCGGAGATGCTGCAGAAGACAAAAACAGTATTTTCCTGGAAAATGCAAATTACATGCAAAAATAATTGAGACCTTTGATTTCAAAGCCAGGGCATGGGGGAAAACAATTGGATGATTCCTCTAAAGGTTAAACACAGAGCACTGGCCCTCCCTGGTGGCGCAGCGGGTTAAAATGCTGCACTGAGAAGCTGAAGCCACTTACGCATGAGTTTGATTCCCACCTGCCCCGGAGGTGACCACATGGCGCGGCAGACCTCTCCTGCCCCGCCCGCTGCTCCCCTCAGCAGTGTGCTTCGTCGATCTGCCTGTTCTGCTCCCCACTCTGTCTCTGGTGAAGCCTCTCGCCACCCCTGAGCCTCTGGCCTGTACCTCAGTTCTATATGTACAAATAAATACATCTTTAAAAATAATAGTAATAATAATAAACACAGAGCACTATATGACCCAGCAATTCCACTTTTAGCAATTCCTCTTTTTCAAAAGAGTGGAAAGCTATTTCTGCATCATGGTTCACAGCAGCATAGTCTCGCCAGCCAAAAGGTGAAGTCACCCTAAATGAGTATCAGGTGAAAGCCAAACAAAACATAGTATATACATACAATGGGGTACTATTTAGCCCACAAAAAGGAACAAAACTTTGATGTATGCTACAAACACCTTAGAAACACTAAGCTTAGCAAAATAAGACAGATATGGAAGAATATATAATAATTCCACATACATGAGGTACTTGGAATCAGCAAATTCCATAGGGACAGAAAGAAAAGCTTACCAGGATTAGAGAGGAGAAACATTGTCTAAATGGGTATAAAGCTGATTTAAATGTTGTGGGTATAGATAATGATCATAGTTATACAATATTGTGTAGCATCTACTGTTGAACTGCACATTTATGAATGATTGAAGTGATAATTATGTTACAACTTTCCCCCATTTTCTGAAAGTAGAATGCTCCCATTTGGCATGATTTATAGATTATTTTGGGGCCTTTGGAATGCTTTTACCATTAATTTATGTGGAAAAAATTTTGAGCATTTCTGGATCCAAAAAGTAATCTACCAAATCATACCAAATAAGAACATTCTACTTTCAGGTTGCAGGGGAAACTCACATGTGAATTTTTCCGCAGTCTAAAAAGTCAGGGAGGAATATTAAAACACACCTCTAAAAGAACTTAAGTGATCACACAAGAACAAATATAAAATACTGGGAGAAGTAGATATAGAATATACAGTAGGACATAGGCTTGTTATTAGGAGCTTCTATCTTTGCCTGTGTATTTGTAATTCAGCCTCAGCTGAAAAAGGATTAAGGTAACTTGC